AATCAGATCACTGCCTTTCCCCAATTGATGAACTTCTTTTTCAGAAGGCTTCACCTCGCCCCCAAACCTCTTCATTGGCTACTAAGGTGACCAAGTAGAAGAATAAAAGTATCTTCCCTTAGTTTCTGAATGTGTTATAAATACATACCTCCAGTGTATGTCCCATTCTAGCAGGGGTTTGCAAGAATATAACGTTTTGAAAGATTATGTAACCTCCCCTGATTTCTTGTGGGGTTTTGTTGTTTTTCAAATTTAGAGACATGCAGTATTTTAGAGCAGAGGTCCAGAACGTTCTCACTATATGTGCGTCAGGCTTTAGAAAAATTCCACCCTTACCTTTTCACAATTAGAAAGGTTATAAATAATGTATTTGGCTGCAAAGGAAGCTCAGCCTGTGGCAGATGGTATCATTCTAGAGTGCCGGGGTTTCTGCGAAGATGGCATTCTTTCAGATCGGAACTTCAGCAGACTCCCAGAAAGAGCCGAAGCTCCTCCTAGGGAGTAGACATGTGCTTCATGGATCTTAGAAAAGCTTACAACTTGGCTCCTAGGACGAGTGTATCGTGTCACACTGGGGTTATGAGATCCACGGCCAATTTCTGCCGACTTTCAAATTCTGTTTCCTGGCATGGAAAGCTGTGGCGATGCGCTGGTCGGTGTGTGTACCGTTTGAACTTGGGATTTAAACCGACTGAGTTTTGTCAGCCTGAGTCCTTTATTCCCTGAACATGGATGTTTTACACTGACTGGCCACTGACTGGGAAAACTTGCGATAGAAATTGTGTCTTTCTCCAAGAGCTCTGGACAGCTTGTATAAATAGACACCGGGAGGGGACTGGGATGGCATAATCAGCAAGCACTATGACTTCCCAGACATCCATGTGGATGCATTTTGGAAAAACCTGGGCAGGTATCTCTTGCAAACTAATGAACAAAGATTCTTTAAACTGAGTTTTATTGTGACACCCCAAAGTGATGATTTTAAAGGAATCATTTAACACCTAAGCTGCCATTCCCTTTGACTTTAAGTGCACACACACACACACAGGAGGGTTTTCTGGTAGTCTGCAGTAATAGCTTATTTCAGTGGCCTTTTGTTGATCAACTAATATGTTCCCAGCCCTGTCTGTGATGAGCGCACGCTATTCGGAGATCAGAACCAAGGCTCTAGTAGAAAATCAGCAGCATAACAAGTGCTCTAGTGGTACCACGTGTGGGGTGTTTGGGACGTCAGGAAAGGCAGAGCAAAGATACCTGAAATACGTCCTCAGGGATGAACAGCTGTTAGCTAGAAATGGGAGAGGGCCTGGCCGTCCGTCCAAGCCAGGGAAGTGGTGTGTGTCTTTCTGATGTCAGCTACCAGGTGCAGGCCAACTTTAGAAGACACCATCAAATTTGAATATTGCAACCAATGGAAATACTATGTTCCTTGGTATTTTCCCTTTGTTCCTACTCGACTTGTAACTGAGTACAATCTTCATTCTTCATAAGAAAATGATTTTTCTTTAAAATATATCATTTGAAATTTTACCTGATACCTTTCTGTTATTTTACAGCACAGTCTTCCAGCTGATCTGAAATGTGATCATATAATAAAAGCCCAGTGAGGAGGTGGTGGCACAGGGTTGTCATAGTAATTAACATCTCTTAAGTCCATCCTTGGTATGTTCCAGGCACTATGCTAATTGTAGCGCATTCATTACTTTCTTTATTGTCTGTCCACGGGCAGACAGTATGGCTCTTGAAGTCATTACTTTTCTAGTCACTCGCCCAGTGCTTAGCACATAATAGGAGTTCAATAAATATATGGTGAATGAATGGAAAAAAAAAAAAGCCAGAATGAATGGAGTCTCAGAACAACCCCATGGGGCGAGTGCTGCTCTCACTGCTGTTTAGTATGGGGAGTTGTGAAGAAGTAGTCGATTCGACTGGGGTCACACCAGCAGTGTGCAGCACATCTTGGATTTGAACGTAGATTTAGCTGATTCTGTTTCGTCACATGAATGTTTAGTGTGTATGTAATATCTGCCAGACATTTGGGCTGGAAAGTAATATGGAACCCGAATCTTCATGAACTCACAGCCTCATGTAATCTTTTTAAACCAACGTCTCCTTTTGATTGACAAGAATCCCAGGCCTCTCTCCTTAAAAACGTGGATCTTGGTGAACTCCTTGTACACCCCTCCCACCTATGAAAATATTATCAATCTTGACTTTCATTTGTATTATCAAAACAATAGGTGTTTCTTTATGATTTTCCAAACTGAAGATTATGACACTGAGTATGATCTTTCAAATGCCATGGGCCCCATAAGATTCTGAAATCTCTCTTCCCTGCCCTTGAAACTTACTAGTCTAGTCAGGTGCTATGCCTGAGATTTCAATAGGATTTTACCACAAGAAGAAAAACAGTGTCTATTAGTGGCTACATGGGAAGTTTACTGCATGCATATTGTTCCGATAAAAATTGAAGTGACCCCAAGTTGCCTAAATTATGGAATATTTTCCAGCCCTCAAGAAGCACAGAAAGATAGAGAACCTAAAAAGTTTCTTTGGCATACGTCATAACCTGTGGATTAGCCTTTGATTTATGTCTTGCTTAGGCTAATATTTACAGTAATCAGTTCCCTAAGCACACACCAGTCGGGACAGAGTGGAAAGCATCCAGAAAGTCTCTTAAGGACAGAGCCTACCAGTTAGAGTTAAACAAGGGCAGGGGGAAGCTCTGATGATCATGCACATATGGATATTATTTTTCACATATGGGTAATAATGAACTACACAGCACTATTACATATGGGCTCTAGTTGTATAAAAATATTTCAGACTTTTTTTTCCACACACTGTGTATTATTCTTTTTTCCTCACATATATATATTTCTTCACTGTTGATAAACCAAACCACATTAAATTGAAATGATCTGTTTACATATCTGTCTTCCTAATAGATTGTAAGCTTTTTTTAGGCAGAGGCTCTGTCTTGTCTGCCCTAGTACCAGCCAGGCACATAATAGGTGTGCAGCAAAGAGCAAAATTCACATATAGAACTATTGGCAAACTAAAATAGATTGGATGTTTGTCAAAAACCTCAGGAAAATTTAGATATTCTAAACATTTCTGAAAATTAAGACACATGCTATATCTAAAATTTATATGAACTATTATATTAACATTTAAGAAACTGCCAGAATGTCTAGGTGTAAGAGTAATAATTTTTAAAAAATTGAAGCAAAGTGGAAGAACATCAACTGTCATCCATTTTCAGAATCACCGTTATCCATCAGCGATCTCAATAGTTTTATTAGTGTCTGACTTTATTGATCCATTATTACAATAGAGTAAGGTGATTGAAGCTGACGGATTGTTAACTGGATCGGGTGATCCTCTGGCTCTGGTTCTGGCAACCTTGCTAAGTATCTTTTTGTACTCTGGACTGAGGGAGGCTCTTAGTAAGATTGCAAGCTTCTAGATTAATGGCAGGGCATCATGAGCCCATTAAGAATGTCTTTTTAGAGAAATAAAATGAGGAAAGTACTATAAAGTAGAAAGTGTCAAAAAAAAAAAAAAAGGATATCACAATTTTTCTTAAGAAAGATAGCCATGTTTTACATAAATAATGCAATTCCAGCTTATCCTTCCCTGCAAGTTCTTCAAAGATCCTCAAGATTTGCATATTACAGAATGTGTTCCTGTTGCAGAATTAACACCGGTAATGGATGTTAGGAGAGTCAATAATAACCAAAAGAGCTTTAAATTAGAAGTCGCTTAAAGAAGATAATTATATAAAAATACTTTTGTTCCCAAACTGGCTTTTCTGGTTGTTCCCTGCTCCCAAACAATGCTGCCCTCTGTCAACTATGTCACTGTAGACCAACTGAAGTTGAAATGCAAGTTCTCATGTTTCTGCACATGGGAGTGGGGGATGGGTGGGTGCTGCAAAGTCTCAATTATTCCTAAGACGCAACTGGAAATTAATTTAGCTGCTACTAGAGGATAATATGGGTGTTATGGTTAAAAATAACTGTGAATTAAGTCACTGAAATGACCATAACTAAAATTTGCTGGGAAGAAAAAACTTTTCTTTGTTGAAAATGAGTTCGAAAAAACTAATAGATCAAAATCATTGTTATTTTTGTCTTCATTTTTGTGTGTTAAACTGTTGGCTGTTTTCAGGATGAAGACAAGTGACAGAATAAGTCATATTCTTTTTCATGCCATCTTTGAGAAATTTAGTACATATAAAATGTACATATTTAAAATTTTTATGGTTAGTTGGAAATTCAAAACTCAAAAATTGTAGAATTTTTTTCCTTCTGATAAAGGATCTCTGAATAGTTTATTTTCTCCTTAAATGTGGTCAGGCAACCTTTGAACAGTGTTAAGGCAGTTAATGTGCCTCCAGTTGAAAACCAAATAATAGAAGTGGGAAATGCAGGTGGTGTTTCCCAAACTTTAATGCACGCCCAAAGACCCTGGGGATCTTGGTAAAATGCAGGTGGCGATTGACTAGGTCTGGGGTGGAGCTGCAGTTTATGAATTTCTAATAAGCTTCTAGGTGATGCTGATATTGCTGGTCCCTGGGCCATAGTTTGAGAAGCAAGGATGTAGAGTACAGACACTAAAACTTGAAGTAGCATTTATTTGAGAACAATCATAAAGTCATCTTCACATAAGTGGACTTATTGGGATCAGTGTAAGTTTGTCAGCCTAGGAATAGATGACATTGTTGAAGGTTCCATAAATACTAGAGCAAAGCCTGTGTGTTTGATAAGCTTTTTTATACTGGTCTCAGTGGGTGGTGGCTTTCTACTTAAATAAGCATTTGATGATCTACTTGATGAGTTTTAAGAAGTCGAGGCTTTAAGGTTAAGTGTGAAACAAAAAGAAATGTATTGGTACTCAGTTGATTAAAAAAAAATACAGTTTCCACAATTGAAATCCTTTCTGTGTTCCACCTTGTGCCTCTGTGTATTACAAACGTTTCCCCTCTCTTCACGCAGAGTATGATTTCTTCCATTGTGAACAGCACTTACTATGCAAATGTCTCAGCAGCAAAATGTCAAGAATTTGGAAGGTGGTACAAACATTTCAAGAAGACAAAAGATATGATGGGTAAGCAAAAACCGTTGCCACGGTGGCTACATACCATTAAGTGTCATTTGGGGGTTTATCAAAGTCACATCTAAAGCCAGGTCTTTTGATTGCCCAATTAGAGATCAATTTAGAATGTTTCTTTGAGGGTGGGGAGTGGGGATGAGTATAATGAGATAATTAAATTCAATAAATGTTTGTGTTTAAATCAGCCAAACTGACTTGGTTGTCAGACATGCAGGAAATCGAGGCGTCAGGAGGAGAGCTGCCATTTCTTAACATCTCAGTGAAGACCTAACCAGGCCTTGAATAACTAACATTAGCTGTGATTTCTCTCAGAGATAAATCATTCTTTTATGTTTTTCGTTTTTGTTCAAGAGAAAGAGAAAGTGCCTATTTTTTACATCCAATTTTTGAGGAAATTAAATTGTATTTCTAGTTTCCACAATTGAGAGCAAGTGATTTTTATGGACCTAATCCCCAGCCCTGCATGTAGGTGCTTTGGTGAACACACTGCTTTACCGCCCATCCCAGAAAATCATTGCATCATTTCTGAACTTTTAATTCCAATAGAGCATCCTATCTTAACGTAACTTTAGGTCAATATTTGTTACTCAGGAAATACATTAAAATTATCTGCAGTGTAAAATGACAGATAAAAGTTGTGTGTTGTACCTAAGCATTTAGATTATGACATTTTCTCCCTATTGAGTTTGTGAGTGTTTGCCAGAGCAAACACTGTGATTAAGGTTAATGTTTTAATTTCTATTAATGTTTTCTTTCACATAACTTGTACCCTCCAAATAATATATTTTAAAATAATACAGGAATGGGATATTTAATATGCATAGCATTATGCCCTGTTTTACATCTATTTCTGTTTACTTCTGTTACATTCATTTAATAACAACAACAACAACAACATTTCCAAAGATTTTAAGAGACAAGAGAATCTGAANGTAACAACAACAACAACATTTCCAAAGATTTTAAGAGACAAGAGAATCTGAATTTTGAGCATGTTTTAGCTTTTAATATTTGAAGCAAAACCATCCATCTACCCAAACAGATTCTTTGCCTTTTATAGCTTAGAGCTATAATGAAGACAATGCATCATTTTTGGAATAATTGCTTGAATTACTATTCCCTGTGAATGGCCCACTTGGGCTGATATCACTGGTAAAATGGAAGGTTTCTTCCCCAATTCTTAGTTATATTTGGCATATATCAGTGATTATAGAAATATGATAAGTTCCTCTAAATATAAAACCTGAATATTTAATGAAAAGAGGAGTGATGATTAAAATCCAGCCAGAGCCTATACGTGGAAAGTATGGCGTGCTCTTTAGAAATCCTCACCTGTGTCCATACACCGTCGTGCCCAGCGTTTCTAGTCAAGAGCATCAGGCCAGTCTCCTCCTCGCAGCAGCAAAGCATTTGACACACTTCGAGCTGACTCTCAGCCAATGCATGTGAGGGATGTAGCCAAGGGAGAAGCATTCATCTTGGGTAGGTGGTAATAAATTGCAAAATCATGACAGTATCCCCATTGTACCAGAACAACTCCCCGCCTCTTCCTTGAAAGATTGTCTTTAGCATCTGGTGATAGCTATAGCTTCTTCAAGAAACATTTGGGTCTTAGCAACACTGGGTAGACTGGCTTGGAATACAACAAATCATTTGCCTCATTCTAAGAAATATTTGCAGATATACCTGCTGCCCGTGATGGTTAGAATTAAGTAAAGCAAACTGTATAAGATACTCAGCCCAGTGTTCAATATGCACTCAGTTATTATTACTTGTCATTATGACCACTTTCATTATTTATTATATTGATTGCTACTTTATATTCATGTCTGGGTAAGAATTGAACGTTGACAACATTTATGTCATCTTTTTTTCTTTCAAACCTTTTGCCTAGAGTGATATCAGTTAATATATATCATGAGAAAATACTTGTGTATTTCTTTTTTGTTTAGTTGCTTATGATGTCTTTCCTTAGCTCGACTCACTCTTTCTAGCTGCCATTAAGCAAATGGCATTCTTCTAGAAGTTATCTTAAAGTAAACATTGCTTATCAGCCTTCTTGGAGTAATGAAAATGAATAATAGTTTGACCCCAAAACTAGTTATATAGAATTGGAAAATAATTGATTTCATGCCTTAAGTCTAAATGATGTTATAAAATTAAGCCGGTATTGTACCACTTTTAAAGTTTGTGGAGTTGTGCAAAAGAAGGAAGTAAATACACAGCAGGTTGAGTTCTGTCTTGAAATTTTCTTCCTTTAATTGGATTTTGATGTGCCCGTGCCTACTGTCTCTGTTTAGGAAATGATCAGGAATGCTTACCAATACCCATCCTTGTTGACTTACCATGATTTTACTTTCTGTCCATCTTAGTCGAAATGGATAGTCTTTCTGAGCTCTCCCAGCAAGGTGCCAACCATGTCAACTTTGGCCAGCAGCCGGTCCCAGGGAACACCGCCGAGCAGCCCCCGTCCCCCGCACAGCTGTCCCACGGCAGCCAGCCCTCCGTGCGGACCCCGCTCCCGAATCTGCATCCTGGGCTTGTGTCGACGCCCATCAGCCCTCAGTTGGTCAACCAGCAGCTGGTGATGGCTCAGCTGCTGAACCAGCAGTATGCAGTGAACAGACTTTTAGCCCAGCAGTCCTTAAACCAACAATACTTGAACCACCCTCCCCCTGTCAGTAGATCTATGAATAAGCCTTTGGAGCAGCAGGTCTCGACCAACACAGAGGTGTCTTCCGAAATCTACCAGTGGGTGCGCGATGAACTGAAACGAGCGGGCATCTCCCAGGCAGTATTTGCACGTGTGGCTTTTAACAGAACTCAGGTCAGTTTCGTTTTTTGCTTAATGGTTCTTCTCTCTCTTTCTCCTGTCTTCAGTCCCGTGCATCCCGATGTTTCTTCTTTGACTCTGCGCTAACAAAGTAGCGTGGTCCTAGTCTCTGTTCCTGGTGGTGCCTCAGTTGACTCCCCCCTTTCCCGACCCTAACCCTCCTCCTCCAGGAGGAAGCTGGGTACCGCCTGATCCTCATTCAGGGGCCTCGAAAGAATAAGTGAAATATGAAAAATGTTTCCAGCTGGGATTACCCGTGCTCTTCCCTGACGGAATCAGAGACAGTAGTAGCAGGTTGAGAAAAGTCTCGTGACTTGGTCAAGGCCACTGGTAGGACTCCAGGCGTCTAGCCTACAATTTTCCCCATGTTACCACCCACATCGAACATGAGTATGTAAATGTGCCCTGTTGAAGTTCCTCTACAACCTCAAAAAACATCTTGGGACTCAATAGCAATTTCTGCCATTTAATTCTAAGAAGCCATTTAGAAAAACATGTATGACTTGCTAGCAAAAACTGTTTCCCGGCTTCGTGCTCTCCCTCCCTCTTCGCATTGCAGCTGCCCTTCCTCCCACCTCATTAAGGGGCCCCTGGGGTAGCTTTGGTCTGCAGGCCTCTGTCTGCATATACTCCCTGTGTCCACACCTTTGTCCTGGGCAGGTTGCTATCATCGTGGAAGACGCTTCAGAAGACAGGGAGAGAGGGAGATGGGAGACAAAGGCCCAAGATAAAAAGTTCTAAACAAATTGATTCTGTTAAACTGTGAATGAGAGGATTTTTAATCTCCCTTTTTGGAAACTAGAATGATATATATGGTGTTTATTTTTGGCCCAGGCACACTAAAAAAAAAAAAACTCTAAAAGAACATGTAACTTTGATTAGAATGGGGACATGATGTCCTTTCAGCTTTCCTGTTTTACCACTGTTGGTTCTTTTGTCAACTTCTTTGGGGCCCTGACTCATACTTTCCTCCCATATATATATATATATATATATATATAATTTTGTTTATTAGATGATTATAAGAATAAAATTCTGGTACAAAAATAATCTAGTATTAATTCCTTGTTGGCAGAGTTTCCATACCTAGGAGAACCCCAGCTGTAACTTATTTTTGGCTTGCCTTAACTGGACTGAAAGTCAGGAGGCCTGACAAAGCCTTTAACTCTGTGTTTTCAGTTTCTTTATCTGATTTTTTTGTACATTGTTTGCCTGTTTTTAAAAGGGTGATTGTAGAAGGTTCTGTCTCAGGTTAAAATTGTATGGTTTTGCCTAGTTCTGTATTTTTACAACTTAAAAAATGTGTTTATTATTAGCTGATAAATTTAGTATGACACCTAAATTCATTTGGGGAGTAATTATTTTTAAAAAATTAAATGAGTGAATGAATGGATCAGAAGTCAGCCGTCTGGTTAGATACTCCTGCTTCTGGCAGGATTCTTTTTTTTTTTTTTTTTTTTAATGTAAA